TAACCTGTCTGTTTCTGGATCCAATTCCAGGTTTTTGCCCTTTAAAGCCCTAGATCAGTGGTCTTCAAACTTGGCCCTTTTATGACTTGTGGACTTCAACTCCCAGAATTCCTCAGCCAGTGTGCCTGGCTGAGGAATTCTGGGAGTTGAAGTCCACAAGTCATAAAAGGGCCAAGTTTGAAGACCCCTGCCTTAGATAGCCTGGCGCTGGGTTATTTAAGGGACCTGATTTCATTTACCCATCTCATCATATGCAGCAGAAAAGATGGAATATCCTGCTCAGCCTGAAATGAGGCTGGCTCAATCCCTGTTGATTTTGTAGAAGTGCCTCAAAACCTGTTATGCCATCAGGTTTGCAAGCTGACATGGTGAGTTGGCTCCATTGTTACCAACATCTGCTCTCACCCTAATATATGTTCTCTCTTAACCTTCGGTTTTCTAAAAGTTTTTAGTAACAACAGTTTTTTATATATTAATCGGTTTTATCCTTGTTGTACACCACCCAGAGTCACTTATTTGTGAGATGGGCAGTTATATAAATTGGACAAATAGTTTGTAGCTTATAGATTGTTGTTGTTGTTAGTTGCGAAGTCGTGTCCGACCCATTGCGACCCCGTGGACAATGTTCCTCCAGGCCTTCCTGTCCTCTACCATCTTCTGGAGTCCATTGAAGCTCACGCCTACTGCTTCAATGACTCCATCCAGCCACCTCATTCTCTGTCGTCCCCTTCTTCTCTTGCCCTCAATCTTTCCCAGCATCAGGCTCTTCTTCAGTGAGTCCTTCCTTCTCATTAGGTGGCCAAAGTACTTGAGTTTCAACTTCAGGATCTGGCCTTCTAAAGAGCAGTCGGGGTTGATCTCCTCTAGGACTGACCGGTTTGATCGCCTTGCAGTCCAGGGGACTCGCAGGAGTCTTCTCCAGCACCATAGTTCAAAGGCCTCCATTCTTTGGCACTCAGTCTTTCTTATGGTCCAACTTTCACAGCCATACATTGCAACTGGGAAAACCATGGCCTTGACTATACACACTTTTGTTGGCAGGGTGATGTCTCTGCTTTTTAGTATGCTGTCTAGATTTGCCATAGCTTTCCTCCCCAGGAGCAAGTGTCTTTTAATTTCTTGGCTGCAGTCCCCATCTGGGTTAACGTGGAGCCCAGGAAGATAAAATCTGTCACTGCCTCCATTTCTTCCCCATCTATTTGCCAGGAATTGAGAGGGCCGGATGCCATGATTTTGGTTTTCTTAATGTTGAGTTTCAAGCCAACTTTTGCACTTTCCTTCTTCACCTGCATCAAGAGGCTCTTTAGTTCCTCTTCACTTTCTGCCATTAGAGTGATATCATCTGCATATCTTAGGTTGTTGATATTTCTCCCGGCAATCTTAATTCCAACTTTTGATTCATCTAGCCCTGCCTTTCTCATAATGTGCTCTGCATATACATTAAATACGCAGGACAACAGAATACAGCCTTGCTGGGCTTCTTTCCCAATTTTGAACCAATCCGTGGTTCCGTGTCCAGTTCTCACTGTTGCTTCTTGACCCGCATATAGGTTTCTCAAGAGACAGATAAGATGGTCTGGTACTCCCATCTCTTTAAGAACTTGCCACAATTTGTTGTGATCCACACAATCAAAGGCTTTAGCATAGTCAATGAAGCAGAAGTAGATGTTTTTCTGGAACTCCCTAGCTTTCTCCAAGCTTCCTCCTATTTAAGTGCTTATTGTATTTATTATCCATTAAACGTGCAGAAGCCCCCTATATACTGAACGATAAACTAGCCATTCACATTGTAGTTCGGCAGTTTATGACTTCATTTGCTGTGCAAATGCAGAAAAGGGATTTAATTGTGTCAAGGGAGGACAAAGTATCTCATATATAGTCCTCGAGTTACGACCTCAGTTGAGCCCCAAATTTACATTGCTAAGAGAGACGTTTGTCAAGTGAGCTTTGCCCCATTTTACGACCTTTCTTGCCACAATTGTTAAGTGAATCATTGCAGTTGTTAAGTCAGTCACATAGTTGTTAAGTGAAACTAGCTTCCCCATTGACTGCAAAAGCTGATCAAGTAACCCTGGGACACTACAACTGTCATAAATATGAGTCAGTTGCCAAGCATCTGAATTTTGACCATGTGACCACAGGGATGCTGCAACGGTCATAAGTGTGAAAGATGTTCATAAGTCACTTTTTCAGTGGCATTGTAACTTTGAGTGGTCACCAAACGAACTGTTGTAAGTTGAGGACTACGTGTAATTCTTGGCTGCTCAGTCAGGAATGTTGTAGGAGCAGATGAACGTCTACAGCGGGGCTTGCACATCATGCCAAACCATGGTTTGCTTGGCCATGGTTTACTGAGTAAATCAGAAATATTTACTGTCAATGCAGACAATATCCCAGTGGTGGCGAACCTATGGCACGCGTGCCAGAGGTGGCACTTGGAGCCCTCTCTGTGGGCACGCGTGCTGTTGGCCCAGCCCCGCCTCCCCCCGTGGCCCCCTCCTCACCAGCAGCCCCCTGGAGGAGAGTTGCCCCCGGGCGCGGCACGCACAGCAGCACAGCCAAGGACATAGCCAGGCAGCAGGGACAAGACTCCACCCTTGCGCCCCATAGCATGCAGATGATGCTGCGGGGTGTGGGCAGAGGGCGTGGCTGTCGTGGCGCTGCAGGGCTGCCTGGGCGATCTACGGCGGGCCATGGAGGCAGTGCATGGCCCTGCAAGTGGGCGGGGCAGGGGGCGGGTGGGGGCAGAGCAGGCAGGATGGGAGGCAGAGTGGGGGGGCGGTTTTGGGGCACTCGGTCTCTAAAAGGTTCGCCATCACTGCAATATCCTGTCTAGAAATCATGCTTTACAGACCAACATGTCTACATTTCTACAAAGGCTGCTATTAGGCTGTGATGACTCAACCTATTTCTGTGAATGGCTCCTGGGCACATCTCCCAAGAAAACAAAACTGGAGCTTGAAGAATGACGGGGCATTGAAAACCTTACAGTGCCCGCGAGAAAAGACATACTGGTAGTCCTTGATTTACAACCATAATTGGGACGGAACTTCTGTTGCTAAGTGAGGAGGCTGTTAAGTGAGTGATGCCCAATTTTATGACCTTTTTTGCTGCCATTGTTAAGCAAATCACCATGGCCATTAAGTGAAGCACACGGTTGATAAGTGAATCTAGCTTCCCCCATTAACTTTGCTTGTTGGAAGCCAGTTAGGAAAGTTGCAAAATGATGAACCCACAACACTGCAACTGTCGTAAATACATGGCCAAATTTGAATCAAGTGACCATGGGGATGCTCTGGCGGTCGTAAGTGTGAAGACAGGTTGTAAGTCCCTTTTTCCCCACACCGTTGTAACTTTGAATGGTCACTGAATGATTGTAAGTCAAGGGATACCTTTAGTGCAGACGTGTCAAACTCGCGATGTCATGTGACATCGCGCAATGTATTGGGACAGTTTTGTCATTGTCGGATAGCTTCCGGATGACGCGTCCAGCCCGCGGGCCGGCAATTTGACATCCTTGCTTTAGTGCAGACATGTCAAATACAAGGCCCGGGGGCCAGATGCGGCCCGCGAAGTGGTTTCATGTGACCCGCGAAGCCATCCTGGAAACAGTGAGGGAACGGCCCCCACTGCCTTGGCCCTGGCCCAGGCCGTCCGGGAGCCAATGTACAATTTTGTGGTGGCCATCTATGCTGAAACGCATTCAGTCTTAGCTCCACAAGGCCGTCCATAAACAGCGAGGAACCAGCCCCTGGGTGCATGTTGGGGAGGTGTCACCCTTTGTGAGGAATGAAGAAATGCACCATGCCTTGGCGCTTGCCCGTCCCACCCCCTTCTGCCAGAGACCCTCAGATCTGTCCCACTCCTGCCCAGGCCCCCACAGGCACCCTTGATGCGAATGACGTAGAGCTGGCCACGCCCACCCAGCAGGCCACACCCACTCCATCCACACCCACCCAGTAGGCCACACCCACCCAGTAGGCCACACCCACCCGGCCCCCTGAAGGCAACCGCAATGCTGATGCGGCCCTCAATGAAATTGAGTTTGACACCCCTGCTTTAGTGTATCTTTAAAATACCACATGCTGCATAAAGTCTAACTTGGATTCAGCTTGACTTAAAACTGCATTTACATTTGCTTCCTAGGGCAGCTCTGGAAGCTGCACAGTTGTAATAAGCAAAAACATCTCTAACTGTGTGCAAAATATTTTTTCTTTTTCCTGTTTGGAGTTATTTATTGTCCAGTTCCTGTAATATGGCTGGACCCAGGGCACTTAAAATTCTGCTGATGCTTGGGAGAGAATGTCTCCATATCTGCAAAACCTCTTTTGTTGGTATCTAATTAACAAGGCTGCAGAAGGATCAGCCCTCCAGCTGCTTCTGAACTACAATTCCCAGTATTCTCACCACTGGTCATTCTGCCTGGGACTGGTGGCGGTGATAGCTCAGCTACATCAGAAGGACCCTTCTTTTGTTCAGATGATCATCACCCTTTAAGGAAAACACTGGAATTTGTGAGATCTGTTCTCTGAATGTTCTCATGCAACCTCTCTTGGATGATGTAGTTCAATCTTTCTCAACCTTTCCCAGAATTCTCCAACCAGCCTGATGCTGGGGAATTCTGGGAGTTGAAGTCCATGCATCAAGTTACCAAGGTTGAGAAGCAATGATGCACTTTGTCCAGCCAGCTGTAAGAAGGAAGAAGCTTGGGGGGGGTGTTTACCAGAATTTGGAAAAAATGTTTGCCAACTACCTTTGACCTGCATCTGCACTATCTCACATTCTACTACAGTCATCAGAGGTATACTGCACTGAAAAATAGGGGGTCTATTTTAGCCCCCAATAGAAAAAATAGCAATTATATTCCCTCCCCCTATTTACAAGTAATCCCTTGAGAGAGCATCTTAAAAGAAAGCCATCACTAATTTTTGTGGCAACACGTTTTACAGATTCTTCGCCTACTGCTACAAAACATTTGGCCTCAAGATAAAATGGGAATTTATTTTATTATGTAACTATATACAACAAAGAAGAACAAACATATCATTTACATTCACTTCTAGGCAGGCAGTATTTTTCATAGATTAAAAAGCACAACAAAATTGACTCTCGCTTGACTACGTCCGATCTGCTGATGGAAACATTTTAACTTAATTCCCAGAATCAACTGCCTTCAGTTGGTGGAACAGTGTGCTCTGATGTGACAGTAGCAACAAAATCTTATATTTTCTTTAAACACCCTCCCCTCCCCAAAAGAAATCAAGTGTCCTGAAGAATTATGTACAAAAGAAAATCACAATATATAACATGTATGAAAAGTTCCATGTTGCACCCGTGTATAAAGTGTCTCTGTGCATTTTTGCCTTCCTGCCTTGCCACAAATTCAACATCCCAAATGAGCCTCCATCAGCTGGGCTTTGCCCTCTTAACCTGATGGGCATCCAGTTTGGGTTCCCCCCACCCCATCCCTCCTCTTCCTTCTCCCTGTCCAAATCCTATAGAGCCAGACTTTCTGCTTGCTTTGTCCTTGGAATTTCACGTTCCTTCCTGGTTACTGCGCACCTGCAGAAAACAGGAGAGAAATGAATGAAACCATTTGAAGACAAACCATTCAAGATTTTGGCCACAGCCAAAACTTTCTCACAGTTACAAAGAAGCAGGCAGGGGTCAACCCTCTTCTGCCAAAACTTGCCAAGAAAACAGGCACAACTGAATGGAAGAAAAAAAATACAGGCCGTCCTTAATTTATGACCACAGTTGGGAGCAAAATTTCCATTGCAGAAAAAGGCAGCTGTTAAGCTAGGTCCAATTTTATTACCTTTCTTGCTACGGTTGTTAAGAAAACCACTGCAGTTGTTAAGTGAATTACACAGCCGTTAAGCAAAGACTGCTTCCCCCACTGACTTTGCTCTTTAGGAACTGGCTAGGAAGCTTGCAAATGCTGATCACATGACCCCAGGACAGGGGTAGGCAACCTTGGCTCTTTTATGACTTGTGGACTTCAACTCCCAGAATTCCTGAGCCACCATGGCTCAGCTTGGAAGCCTCTCCCTTTCCCCTCAGCATGGCTGGCTCAGGAATTCTGGGAATTGAAGTCCACGAGTCATAAAAGAGTCAAGGTTCCCCACCCCTGTCCCAGGATGCTGTAAATACAAGCTGTTGTAAATGCATGCCGAAGTTTGATCACGTGACCATGGGGATGCTGCAACAGTCATAAGTGCGAAGATCCGTCCTAAATTATTTTTTTTCAGTGCTGGTGTAAACTTCAAAGGGCCATTAAATGAATGGTTGTAAAAAAATATTCAGACTGTATCTCTGTGTGGAAGATCTAATATTTCCCATTTGTTTCTTACCATCTGTTTGCCCTTACCATCTGTTTGCTGTTCCTCTTCTCTTCCCTCTTCCTCATTCAGTTCTTCGTCATCTTCATCTTTGGAAAAAAGGGAGGGGCAAATAATTTAGATCCACATTCCAGAACGCCTCATGTGCGCTATAACAGAGCTATAGAGCTGTCTCTTAAGAATAGAATAGAATAGAATAGAATAGAATAGAATAGAATAGAATAGAATAGAATAGAATAGAATAGAATAACAGAGTTGGAAGGGACCTTGGAGGTCTTCTAGTACAACTCCCTGCTCAGGTCCTATACCATTTCAGACAAATGGTTGTCTAATCTCTTTTTAAAAACTTCCACTGCTGGCTCATATTTAAGTGATTGTCCACTTGGACTCGGAGATCCCTCTCACAGTTACTGTTATTGAGCAAGATACCACCTATACTATACCTGTCCATTTGGTTTTTCTTGCCTAAATATAGAACCTTACTTTTTTTCAACATTGAATTTCATTTTATTAGATAGTGCCTCCGTATTTAAAAGTATCTCAGATGCTTATGAAGTTCTTGGGAATCTTTATTTCTAACTCTGCTGGGGTCTGTTCACTTTGTACCCCTTGCCACACAAAAGTTTTGTTAAGTTTGCTTATGCACTAGAATATTAGAAAGCCCCACTTTCGTCATGGGAATCAGCAGGCATTAGCCCCAAGACAAGTACAGAAGGAAGTTTTAAAAAAATACCTCAGTATTGAAAAGCTGAAGAATGTTCTCATAATATTTACTATTTGCCGAACATTTATCTGGATTTGGCATTCCTCCCCATAATAATCTAATGTCAATAGTTGATGAAATATATTTGGCATTCAGGATGCTACGTATTATTTGTTGATATGCAAAAATAATAACCTGATGCACAATGCTATTTGCTGCAGTGATTTCCATATTATTATTATTATTTTCTTTTATGGCCCTATAATCCCTTGCTTCGGAGTGGGGTTGGGGCTGAGTGTTCACCGGCCAGATGCCTTTCCTGACACCTATGCGGAGTTGGCAGTAGTTATTTTCTCTTTGCGCTCACAAAAAAGATATTGAGAGTTTAGAAAAAATGCAGAGAAGAGCAACTAAGATGATCCAAGGCCTGGAGGCTAAAACATACAAAGAATGGCTGCTGGACTTGGGTTTGGCTAGTCTAAAGAAAAAAAGAAATAGGGGAGACATGATAGCAGTATTCCAGTATTTGAGGGGCTGCTTTTGTTCACCAAAGCACCAGAGGGCAGGACAAGAAACAATGGTTGGAAACTGATCAAAGAGAGAAGCAACCTGGAATTAAGGAGAAACTTCCTAACAGTGAGGACAATCAACCAGTGGAACAGCTTGTCTCCAGAAATCGTGGGCGCTCCATCACTGGAGATCTGTAAGGAAAGACTAAACAATCACCTGTCTGAGATGGTGTAGGTTCTCCTGCTTAAGCAGGGGGCTGGACTAGAAGACCTCCAAGGTCCCTTCCAGCTCTATTCTATCTGTCACTGCCTAGGATTGAACTCTCAACCTTCCAAATGGGAGGCGAGCGTTTTCACCTTTGGCCACTGTGCTGCTTGATTTCCATATTAATTATTACACCTTATATTTTCCTTGGTCTGAACAACATAATGTTTAAGAATTGTCTTTTGCCCCCTCGACTGTCTTCAGTTGACTGATGCAATATTAATTTCTCCATCAAGAGGAATGCATTTGATAAATCAGAAGACTTAAGAGCCATGTTGCGTTCAGAGAGATTAGCAATATAAATTTCAGGTTACACTTCTTACATCCCGAAAGGGCACCTTTGGATTATCATACCTGCCTCAAAGTTGATGCTTCTCAAGGCTTCTGTGATGCTTTCCAAATCTACGGCAAAGTAGTCCATGTTTTCAAAGCCTGTCTCAACTTTCTCCAACTGACCACCTTTCGATGCATCCACGATTCTGGAATGCAGATGAAAAAAGAGGTTGTCTGTTATCCTGCTGTTAGACAATCTGCTGTAGGTTTTGGGCTGTCATTCAAATAAATGGTGTGATACTCTATTATAGGCCTTTCTATCATTATGGGAGATTTATGAAGGATGGACGGCGGCAATATCTTAGATGAATAAAATAAACAAAAGAAATGGAATGAAAGGAAGGGGGGCTGACTGACTAACCTTTCCCCCTTTTATAAATACAGGTAGTCCTCAACGTACGACCACAATTGAGCCCAAAATTTGTGTTGTTAAGTGACACAGTTGTTAAGTGATTTTTGCCCCATTTTATGACCTTTTAGCCACAGTGGTTAAGTGAATCATTGCAGCTGTTAAGTTAGTAAGAAGGTTGTTAAGTGAATCTGACTTCCCCGTTAACTTTGCTTGTCAGAAGGTCACAAAATGGACACTGCAACCATCATAAATGTGAACCAAGCATCTGAATTTTGACCATGTGGCCCTGGGGATGCTGCAACGGTCATGTAAAAAACGGTCATGTCACTTTTTTTCAGTGCTGTTGGAACTTTGAACGGTCACTAAATGAACTGTTGTAAGTCGAGGACTATCTATAACTGTGTTAACCTTTCTTTGGGTCTTCCCTCCATTTTCATTCTCCCCAAGGCTCCACATATAAATGTTCCATCATACACCAAATAGGTTTCAATTAGCTGATGGCATATTTTTCAGGAAAAGGAATTAAATTGCCCCCAACTTTCTGATAACAGGAGCATTGCAACTAGACAGTTAAGCTAACAAACTAGTCCATCTACTAATCAGCTTTAATATAATTCAAATGTCACAGTGTTTACTTAACCATACAGTGTCCTTCCTGCTTGGATCCTCTTTGAACGTATTTACTTAGGATTTTACAGTTTGTTTTCAAAAATGGGAGTTTAAAAATATATTTTCAGGACTTACGTTTTAATAAGCTGCTTGGCAGTCTGGAATGAGAAAGAGAAAGGTCAACAAGTGAATGAAAAACGTTCCGTTTAAAATTGGTAAAATCAGTAAAATTAACTTGAGTCTCCCAGAAATTATTGATTGGTTGATTGCCCTGTTAAAATTTGGAGTATGAAGATTGATTTGAAGGCAGACACAAAAAAATACTGAAGTGTAATTGTACAGTTGCAAAGTGTCATAATTAGAAACCTTTTTTTTTTGTATTTCCAGTTTAAGGTTACTCTAATTGCAATGAAAAGCAAAGATCACAATTCACAAATTAAACCGATAATACTGAAACCTTTATTTCAGAGCAGGGGAGTCCAGGTTTGGCAACTTTAAGACCTGTGGACTTCAACTCCCAGAATTCCCAGCCACTCATGCAGGCAGGGGAATTCTGGGAGTTGAAGTCCACAAGTCTTAAATTTGCCAAAGTTGAACACCCCTCTTTTAAGGTTCAAAGTAATTTTACATTCAAATCCCTTCTTATTTTATCTCCATGCTAACTCTTCAGGCAGATTCAGATGAGTGATGGTAAGTAGCACCACTAAGATCAACTGGCCAGTTTCCTGGCTGATCCATGATATGTATCTCCTAGTCCAGGGGTAGGCAACCTTGGCTCTTTTATGACTCGTGGACTTCAACTCCCAGAATTCCTGAACCAGCACGGCTGGCTCAGGAATTCTGGGAGTTGAAGTCCACGAGTCATAAAAGAGCCAAGGTTGCCTACCCCTGTCCTAATCAGATCTCCAGTTCTGGCTATCTTGGTCTGGGAATTAGGGAATTGAACATCTACACAGCTGTAGATAAAGGAATCTCGAATGTGTAGCATTTTTCCTCACCATGAGAAAAGCTGCTCCTCCTTCTTCCTCCATAGACTGAATGGCAGTCTCGACCAGCTTGGAGGACTGCTCCAGTTGATCTTTATACTCTTGGATGAGGTTCTGCATGAACCCAACCTTCTCCTCCTGCTCCTTGGAGATACGCTGCAGAAGGTCTGTCCTCTTCTCCTCAAGGACAGCAATGAGAGCTTCAAACTTCTCACACAGAGACTGCTTAGCCAACCGACTATTCTCCTGTGACAGAGAGAGAAGAATAAAAGGAGAAGTCGAGCTGGTTCCTCCTGAACAAATCTCATGCATGAAGCAACCATCTGGAACTCATTCTGAGAGATGCCAGTGCTTGATTTGTTAAGGGGAGCATTGCAGCTCTAAGAAATCTTGATCCCCAGCTGGTTCCAGCTGGCAAATATATTCAGTAGAAGGCTTTTGCAGAGGAAAGCATATCAATCTTCACAGACTATTTTCTTTCACTGAAAAAAATGACTTACGACTGGTCCTCACAATTATGAGTGTTGCGGCTTCCCCACAGTCACATGATCAAAATTTGGGCGCTTGGCAACCAGCATGTTTACAACCATTGGCGGACGGTGATTGCCATTTGCGACCATTCCAGCCAGCTTTCACCAAACAAAATCAACGGTTGAAGCCACATTTGCTTAACGACTGCATGGTTCACTTAACTTAGGGGTAGGCAACCTTGGCTCTTTTACGACTCGTGGACTTCAACTCCCAGAATTCCTGAGCCAGCCAAGCTGGCTCAGGAATTCTGGGAGTTGAAGTCCACGAGTCGTAAAAGAGCCAAGGTTGCCTACCCCTGACTTAACTGCATTGATTTGCTTAAGAGCAAAAGGGATTGTAAAATCGGGTGCGACTCACAACACCTTAGCAACAGAAAGTCTGGTCCCGATTGTGGTTGTAAATGGAGGACTGCCTCCCATGTATAGATTGCAAACACCATATTTCCCAACTCAGAATGATTGGGGTTACACCCTACATCAGACATGTCAAACACAAGGCCTGGGGGCTGGATGCGGCCCGCAAAGTGGTTTCATGTGGCCCGCGAAGCCATCCTGGAAACAGTGAGGGAACAGCCCCCTCTGCCTTGGCCCTGGCCCAGGCCGGCCGGGAGCCAATGTACAATTTTGTGGTGGCCATCTATGCTGAAACGCATTAAGTCTTAGCTCCACAAGGCCGTCTGGAAACAGCGAGGAACCAGCCCCTGCCTCTGGGTGCATGCTGGGGAGGTGTCACCCTTTGTGAGGAATGAAGAAATGGACCATGCCTTGGCGCTTGCCCTGGTCCCACCCCCTTCTGCCAGAGACCCTCAGATCTGTCCCACTCCTGCCCAGGCCCCCACAGGCCCCCTTAACGCGAACGATGTAAGCTGGCCATGCCCGCCCAGTAGACCACACCCACTGCATCCACACCCACCCAGTTGACCACACCCACCCTGGCCACACACACACACCCCCGAGGGCAACCGCTCTGCTGATGCGGCCCTCAATGAAATTGAGTTTGACACCCCTGCCCTACATAATAGTCTCTGTAGGTGCATGGCAGCAGAGGAAAGACCAAACAAGGATCTCCTGACTTGCACTCTGTGCTCTAACCCCAGATTCCTCATCATAAAACACTTATCTGGGAAATGTCCTTTCTTCTCCTGTTGGTGCATTGGGAAAATAGTCTGCATCAAACACTTACCGTAATTAAATGAGTTAAAGCAGAGGCCCCCAACCTTTTGGGCAACAGGGACCGGTTCCATGGAGACAGGTTTTTCCGCAGACCGGAGGGTATGTGGTTTTGTGTGCTGCCTGCAACCCGTGGATGGGGCTTCACTTGTTTGTGCGGACCGGTTGCTGGCGTGCTGCGGACCGGTACTGGTCCACAGACCGGGGGTTGGGGACCCCTGAGTTAAAGCACCCGATTCGTGGGCTGGTACTGGTCCGTGGCTTGTTGGGAACCAGGCCATGCAAGTGGTAGATGACAGCACGAAGCTTCATTTGTGCATGCACGGGATTAGGTTGCACGCATGTAACCATCCCCTTTCCCCTACCCTGCAAATGCCAGTCCGTGGAGCCAGAAAGGTTGGGCACCGTTGAGTTAAAGCACCAGCTGATGTACTTGCAACATTTTAAGCCTCGTCCATTTTAACCTTAGTTAGCCCTTTCCCCTATTTAGCGTTCAGTGCAAATTTAGCCTAATTTCTAATTAGAATTCTAATTAGAATTAAAGGTTCTAATTAGATTAATTTTCTGATTTCTAATTAGAAACCAGAACATTAGAAATTCAAATATTAATTCAATAATCAATTAGGCAAGCGCTGTCTGCATTGGGATTTTAGGTTTCTAGGCAGACGGCTGGCTCTTTCATCTAAAAAAACCCCTGCCTAGATTTGGAAACAGGGAGAAGAAAGCCAGTGGGCTCCCTTCCCCTCTCTTCTCTGGCAGCCCTTGTCTGATCAACCATCGCTCTGGATTGGATTTCTCTTCCGCTGCTCAGATTTCTGAAGGCTCAGCCATTTGTCGTACTCCTCACCTCTGTCGTTTTGCACAAGTCCTCCAGCTGGCTGATGATTGTCTGCACCCTGTCATTCCCTGCTACCAACATGGAGATGCAGTTGGTTAGCTCAGTCTGTAAGAGAAAATAATAAAAATAAATTGACTCTCTAAGCCCCCAAGGGGTGCGCTGAGGTTCTATTTGGCCAATTGTGAGAACAAAAAATGGAAAATCCAGCGAAAGAAATATCAATGAGAAATGCTATGACTTAAGACCGCAATACAGTTATTGTCAAGACTGATTGTTTTCATTTTTGGTTCCCTTTTGGATCATATTAGATTATAGGGACTTTTTTTTTTAGGAAAAATCTTTGATCATTTTTCTGGGGCTTTGAAAGATTGAGGGAAGTTTAAGGAAGGCCTGACATCACTTAATTGATTAAGTCTAGAGACAGATTATAAATCCTTCTCCAGCAAAGTCCGTTGGCTTTGGATTGGCGTAATATTTTTAGCCCATGGCAGAAATGTGTTTCTAGGATGCTGACATCCATAAACATTTTGGATGCCAAAGCCAACAACCCTTTTGCACCAGCTGGCTGAAGACTGCATCTGCCAGGGACTCAAAAATATTGTTTGAAACCGGTTGTCTCACGGCCAGCCTTCTCTGCGCAGTTCGATCTGGGTTGGTTTCACGAAGTGCGAAATCTGTTTTTCCTTTTGCTCTTTTTGGGTGAGAGGCATGAGCCTTTATCACAAACTCTGAATGACAACTTGAAAGTTCCATGCACGGACCCACATTCAAATGTTCTCCCAAATCAATGGGAAAAGAGGAATGGGAGAGATATATATGGTTACAGCCATCTGGAATTCTTGGTGCCTATATTTTCCTTCCCACGGGCACTGCAGAGGTTTAGAAAAATGAGAAAAGTGGATATGGAGTCTTTGTCATTCTTGATTATACATATATATGGACAAAGACTCCATATCTGCTTTTCTCATTTTTCTAAACCTCTGTAGTGCCCCGTGTGAAGGAAAATACAGGCACCAAGAATTCCAGATGGCTGTGACCATAGCTGAGTCTGCAGAAAATGGAGGGGTGGTGGGTCTGTTTAATCTCTGGGAAAAGCGATGGGTTAACTACTGTATGGGTGTTCAGAGAAAGAGCACCGCTTCTATTGCAGCTGCTCTCTAGGGGAATGAAAGTCCTCCCAACAGGGTGCTCTGCCACCTCTCGACTCCTGTGACTCCAAATATATCCTGCTGATGATCGCTTGTCAACTGCAGTCGTCTATGTGTCCATATCAGCTGCATTAGGGTCAGAAGCTATTCCTGAAAGACTGCAGTGTGACGTGTCCAGAGGTCTCTGATTCACTTCGTAGCCCAAATGGGAGATGGACCTTCTGGCCCCAAGACTTCCTCTGCATACCACTGGACCTGAACCCCTCTAAGGCAGGGCTTTTCAACCAGTGGTACGGGTACCACCTGTGGTACATTGGCACCTTGCAGGTGGTACGCCACCATCCTAGAAAAGTGTAAACGGGGGAGGGGAATGAGCTGAACCGATGGCAGCACGGCACAAGCCTGAGCGAGAGATGGCTGGAGCTGCACGGCTGTCAGGGCTCAGCGGAAGCGCCAGGATCAGTGCCGCTTTCCAGCTGATCGGCACTTCTTCGGGGTTGTCAGGGCTCAGCGGAAGCACCAGGATCAGCGCCAGGCTCCAGCTGTAGCTCGGCGCTGATCCTGGTGCTTCTGCTGAGCCCAGAAGAAGCACCAATCAGCTGGAATGTTGCAGCATCTCCAGGGTCTTGTGATTTACATTCAGATGCGTGGCAACTGATTCATATTTATGATGGTCACAGTGTCTCAGGGTCATGTGAAGTGACCAAAACCTGCTGCAACCACCCAGCAGATGGGGGGAATAAAAACCAAACACCCCCCACCCCACCCCTGCTGCCAATCCTCAACAGAAATGCTCACAACAATGAAAACCTCAGACAGGAGGAAGAGCGCCGCCGGGCGGGCAGGCAGGTGTCTTGCTCAGCTGTGGCTTGGGGGGCACTTTTTTCAGTGCCATTGTAACTTCTAAGAGTCATTAAGCGAACTGTTGCAAGTCGAGGACTACCTGTACTTTATCACTTTTTTCATTTTTCATATTTTTTTTTTGGTCATCAAGTTTTTGACACCTTGCTAGGCGACTGGTGGTACTCGGATGTTGCCGTATCCTAAACGTGGTACAATGGGTGAAAAGGTTGAAAAGCCCTGCTCTAAGGTGAAGAAATGCAATCCTTTTTTTTTTTTTTTTTGTCTCTGGGCATATGGTCAAGTTGCAGGCATAAAGTAGGAGGATATTCACTTCCATAGAGGCTGCTAAGCAATATCCCAGGAAATGTTGAGACTGTTTAGAATTGTGTCAGGGAGGTCTTTCTGTTTGTGCATATCCAAAAAGAGTACATACACCATGGAAAGATTTTGCATGCCCTGAGTAATACAGGTCCACGCTTAAAAACAATTGCTATTATTTAAATAGAAAACAGAGTGGCAATGTGGCACAGTGGTTAAGGCACCTGGTAGAAACCAGGAGAATGTGAGTTCTAGTCCTGTCTTAGGAACAAAGCCAGCTGGGTGACCATGGGCCAGTCCCTTTCTCTCAGCCCTGGGAAGGAAGCAATGGCAAGCCACTTCTGCAAAGCCTTGCCAAGAAAACTGCAGGGACTTTGCCAGGCAGACCCTGAGAATCAAAATGATTGAATGGAAGGGACAAAAAACAGAATTAGTGATCATGTCCTCTTAATAGAGATGAAAGGACCTGTGTGTTTTCCTGTGCTGTTATGGAGCAGTGAGCAGGTTTGCAGGTACCCTGTAATACCTGAGAGAATGAAGGCTGGTGGATCCTGCCATGACCCAGGGGAGCAATTTAAAATAACCCGGTCCTTTAGCAGGAATTCCTTAGAAGGTGCCTGCATTAGGAAAGGGGCAGTTGGAGACCAAAAGCTTGAAATCTACTGGTACGTGAAGACAGATGCTCTAACGGTTGGACTTGACAGGACAGGAGCCAGCAATTCTCAGGCCAGAAACAATTGTTACGTAAACATTGGGATGATGTCTCCAACTCTCAGAGTGGGAAAAAATGATAACTCTGAAACAGATGCATGATTTCTGACTGCTACACCAGGCATATCTTCTACATATATTTGATGTCTGTCTGCTCTCCAGTAAAGCAACTTATCTAGCTGTATCTTTGAAACCTCTGCTGTGAGCCAGTTCTGAAATTTGGGCATCAAAATCCTGAAAGTGGGCAGATAAAAATGTTGTGATAAAACATGATAAGGCATCTTTTGAACATGCACGTAACACCAACACCAAGGATGGCGTTTACATTATGATGCTCTGCCTGCCATCTTGCAAAGTTCAAGCCTCCCTGACCCAGTGTTGGCAGATGATCATGAATATCAGGCTAAAAACTGGAGAGTTAAGCTATATTATTACCATCCCTGCAGTGAAGCCTGGCTCATACCTTTTGTCCCTGAAAGACACTTTGAAGAGGTGCCACTTCACAGTCTTTGTGTGCTCCAAAGACTTTGCACATAGAACAGGTAGGAACCTCACAGGTCAAGCAATAGATGTTGATCTTTTCATCTTCATGTTCCTTGCACATGGGGTTGTTTCCCTTCTTGAGCGGACGGCTGTTGGAGATGGGAAGGAAATGAAGAGTCCAGATAAAAATGTCTGCATAGTTAACGTCACCTGGGATAGCAAGATGGGCAGCATGTAAACTTAACAAATAAATGTTTGAGTAGAAGTGGGGAAACAGATTGAAATTCATACTCGGGCCCAAAACTCTCTAGGTAATATTGAGACCATCACTGTACCTTTTTCATTTGACATTTCATGATGACTATGTCCTACTATTTACTGCCACTGATCTGCATGTTTGAAACTATTTTAAACTTGCTTTAGATGTTTTTTGTTTTACTTTATGTAAAATGCAGGAATTGCATGGCCTGTAGTTCATGTAAATATGGCAGAAGATGGTAAAACAAGAGTTTAAATAAATAATCTACCTCACATGGATGTGTAAAACATGGATGAAGAGAGAGGATCAGGTTTGGTTTTATGGATTATTCAAATGCCTAATTATGATGCCCTTGAAAGAGTAGGGGCAATCTGGTGAAATGCATGTCAGGAATTATTTTCAATAGAAGAAAATATAGGGTTGAATGTGGTCCTAGGTGATCTCTGAACTTGGTTGTTTACTTGCAGAAGTTCCTTGTCTACTGGCTGGGAAATTCTGGGAGTTAAAGTCCACCCATCTTAAAGTTGTCAAGGTTGAGAAACACTGCTATAGACCCAGAGCACGCTGGCTGGTAAATTCTGGGAGCTGAGGTCCATGCATTTTAAAGTAAACACCAGCACTGATGATGTTACCTAGCTGGGTAATGTCTCCAGGCAAACAACCAAGTTTAGAGAGTATCAAGAACTTCATAGAAGTGGTTTTCCTAGTGAATGGGGCCCTTTGTCTATGAAAGAGGGAGGGATTGAAGAGTCATTAGGCTTGCTTGCTTCACGTTCTATCAATCTCTAGGGATTGGCCCCAGAAATATTCCTCACTAAGGGCAAGTATTTCCCAGTTACCTTCTTCTCATTTAATTTTTCCTCTCACACAGTAGAAATTAAATATTACGTAGATTTAGTAAATCAAGTTGAAATTGTGGTCTGCTTGCTGATCCTTCCTTCGCACAGTACAGTGTAGATAGCCTTCTGTCTAATATTAACTTCCCTGTGAAGTTATGTTTAGATCTTACTTCCACTTCTGTCCAAGTGGAGCCATTTATTTTGAGAACAGGTTTCCTTCCTTTGGAGGAGGATTTATGATAACAGCCCCCCACCCCCCCACCCCAAAGTATCAGCAGCACAGCACTTCTGCACCTATATTCGGAGCCCTTGCTAATCCACCCAAATTTCTTGACCCTTCATGGACACGGACTAGTCAGTTGGTGGGACTTTCCTCTATAGCAGGGGTAGTCAACCTTGGCTCTTTTATGACTCGTGGACTTCAATTCCCAGAATTCCTGAGCCAGCCATGCTGAGGGGAAAGGGAGAGGTTTCCAAGCTGAGCCATGCTGGCTCAGGAATTCTGGGAGTTGAAGTCCACGAGATAAAAGAGCCAAGGTTGACTACCCCTGCTCTATAGGGTTTTTTAAACAAACAGCATGATAATTGCGTTTGCTATCGTGATTTAAAGCAACACTAATTCCTAGTTCTACACACGGTGGGTGTGAGACTGAATGTGTATAAAGAAAAGAATGAATGAAAGTAACCTAGATCAGACCCAAGGTCCATGTAGGTGCTGTTCTGAAAAGAGTCATAACCTTCAGCCTGGATTTTTAAATTGGATTAAGCTGCCATGTTAAGAGGGGTTTTATTTTATGGATTTATTCCTTTTTGCACTTTCAGTCTATTGTAAATTTCTTGTTAATCCAATTAATCTACTGCAGATTTCTTCTTGACATGAATGAGACAGGCCCCAAGGATGAATCCCAGTTATGATGGCCAGTTTTTCAGTTCCACAGAGACCCTCCTTTCTTCAACTACAAAATCTGAGCTGCAAAAATTCAGAGGACCACTATAGAACAAACATAGTTGGAGTCTTCAACATTCCTTTGTTGCCATCGAGTGGTTGTCTGGATTGTTGTGGTCCAGATATGGTAGCTTCCTTTTGGAAGGAAAGAAAGAGGACACCAGCAGCAAGATGTCAGCTGTGGAAGTCCAAGACCACAAGTGAAGGTTCAGTTAAACTAATTGATTGCTATATTCGATGCAGAAAAATCTTCTCAACTAACCATCAGCATCTGTTTAGAGTTAGATAAGGGTCACTGGCACTCAAGGAGGATAGGACTTAGTTCGTTTGTGGCTACGTAAGGATTCTAGGCTAACCCCTCTTTTCATCCCACCCCTCCCCCAGGTTCTGCCACTCCTTCTCCCATTCAAGGTGGATGGACTTAATTACAGGTAGTTCTTGACTTACGACCACAATTGGGACCAGAATTGCTGTTGTTAAGCGAGGCAGTTGTTAAAAGAGTCAAGCCCAATTTTACAACTTTTTCCCCCCATGGCTGTTAAGCAAATCATTGCAACTGTTAAGTGAATCACATGGTGATTAAGCAAATCCATCTCCCCCCCCTCGCCCTGTCCTTGATTTTGCTTGTCAGAAACCAATTGGGAAGATTGCAAATGGCGATCACGCGAACCGAGGATGGTGCAACCATCCTAAATACATGCTGGTTACCAAGCGCCTGAATGTTGATCACATGATTGTGGGGATGTTGTGCAGGTCATTAGTGTGTAAGTCATTTTTTTCCAATACCGTTGAATGGTTGTAAGTCAAGGGCCACTTTACAGAGCTGGAGAAAATCTATGTGGTTGGTAAAAGTTACAATAACAATAACTTAATGGTGCTTTGTGATTCATCCACCTTTCTCTAGCTCAGGGTTAGGCAACCTTGGCTCTTTTATGACTCGTGGACTTCAACTCCCAGAATTCCTGAGCCAGCGACGCTGAGGGGACAGGGAGAGGTTTCCAAGTTGAGCCATGCTGGCTCAGGAATTCTGGGAGTTGAAGTCCACGAGTCATAAAAGAGCCAAGATCACCTACCCCTGCTCTAGCTGAAGCTCCTGTCTGGAAATAATTGTTAAGAAATTATTGGAAGATACTAAAGACATGATTGCTTTTGAGGGAGAATTTCCTTTTCTAAGGTGTATTAAAGTGGGATTCATACCAACCTTGAATATTCCTGTTTATAGATATCAATGATATTCTCCACCAGCAGATTCCTCTGGAGACCATAGACTCCATGGCGGTCCAGGATGACTTCATGTCGGCAAGAGGGACACCGGAACCGTCCTCCTGATATGGTAGTTCCTCGGCTTGTTTGCCAGTATGGATTGGCGGCCTAGAAATGCCATCAACCGTGTTAATCCAAAAGTCAGTGATTTCCCCAAATTAAACTACACACTTCCCCCCCCCCCCAAATCTTGTACCCTTCAGAAATAATGTACTTCAGCTCCTATCAATCCTATTCATTTCAAACACAGGAAGGATCCAGGTGGGGAAAGCTTCAAAAATTCAAAATAATCTGATTTCTTCCCTTCCTCCCCGTCCCCCTTTAAAATTATTCACAGTTGTCCTTTTGATAAAACAGAACATCTCCCATCATGCTTTGCTCATAAAATGGACACTGTCACTGGAACACTACCCACTGCCAATAAATGAGGTAACTGTTTCAACTGTAATCTATTTTGGGCACAAATTGCAGTGACACTATTTGTCAGATCTGGGCATTGGCTGGGAGAACTCAATTTCAATTTGTTAAATTATTTAATCTAATCCGGTTTCATTACTTTATGCGCCCATTTTATGTGAAATATTATGCACCTGAGCCCTAGAAAATACATAAGATGAAGCCCCAAATAAGTATTCAAAAAAATGTATCACCGTTTGAAGCTAGATAGAGTTTATTCCTTATTTATTTAACTAAAACATAAGAATAAGATTTGCTGGTCTATCTCAGTTCTTGAAGGACTCAAGTCCATCCATGGCTGAATGAATGCTCATGAAGTCACCCAAGAAAATGTGGTTATCCTGAATTATTGATTTTCTTGTACATCTTTCCTAGGTCATTTATTAGATGTTAAACATGGAAGAATCATGTCCATTGTCTTTATGGGTTACATGAAGAATAATATGAATTGCCAGAATAAGGCAAATTGTTCATAAGAACATAAGCAATGGCTTATCTAGTCCAGCAGTCTGTTCTCAGGGGACAGCCAACTACACAAAGAAGTCTCCCAGTTGATGGCCTTCAGAAGCAGTCACACTTCTATCGAGACTAATAGCTGCTGATCCCCATGACTTCCATGAACTGCTCCAACCCTTTCTTGAAGCCAGCCAAATTCATGTACTAATATATTTCTGTAAATGCAAATATGAAAAAACCCATTATATTTTGAAGAGGATCTATCCCAAAATAATGCTTAGTAGGCATGCTTGGTGAGCATGGGATATTGACTGGTTTGTTGGGAAACAGGACATTAACCCCGAAAAATGGAGAATGGAATAGATGAAGACATGTATGATTATACAGGTTCTGGAATGTATCCTCCCTTGTAGCAGAACCCATTTGTCCTGGATATACTAATTATAGGATCAATCCATTTCCCCCTTAATTTGTGTAATCCTAGATGCTTTCAATATGTTTTATGGCAATGGGTTTCTTATGTTATATGAAAAAATAATTGGAGAGACAGGACATTGGAACAAACAGATATCAACTGGCTGAAAAAGGATGCTTCATCTGGTCCATTGTCCATCTAATCTTATGCAGATTCGGTAGTGTTAGGCAATCTTCTGTAGCAATGGGATTGCTTGTTGGACATAGAATTCACACATGAATGACAGTAACTTTCAGCTTCCATGTTGCTAATGGTATTGCCAATGGTTTGGTTGTGGTTTTGAGGGGAATGTAATTACAATACAGAGAAATACTGCATTAGTTTCTAAAAAATTTATATTGGCCACTGGTCACCTGAGCTTTACAACATAGGTTGAGAGAGAGTGACTTGCCCAAGGTGACCCAGCTGGCTTTCATACCTAAAGAGGAACTAGAATTCATTGACACCTAGTTTCTAATCTAGTACCTTAACTACTAGGCCAAACTGACTCTCAAAGAGGGAACTATATCAACCTCATTGGTACCAAAATAACCCTCCTTAGATGTAATGGAATTCCCAATCAGCATGCCTCGTGCTGATTTAGGATTCTGGGATTGAAGTCCCAACACACCTGGAGGGTCTTAACTTGTAAATACTGGCAAAAATGTATTCAGTAAACCATCATTAAATAAAAAATAATTCTCCTTCCCCTTAAGGATATTGATTCCATATTTTTAAAAAATAAATAAAACAAAGCCACACATGCATTTATCCCATGTCTTGATATACCTTTTTTTTTTTTTACAAAATAGAAACGATACATATGTAAGAAGTCATTGACTGAGAAGGAAATAAAGCCACTTTCTCCAGTCAAGTGCCCTACAGATGTGTTGTGACTACAGCTCCTGTTGACCATGCCAACACATCTGAGGATCTTCAGGATGAGAGAACACTTAAAAACAACCCATTGTTTCACCAGGTGGGTATCTCTCTCCTCTCCCTCTTTGCCTGCAAGCCAATGAGATATTTGGGAAACCAAATTCAGATTCTCCTCAGCTTCTTGGCTGTGTCTCTGCCCTTATGTTTTGTGTTGCCTTGGAGGTATGACAATAATAATCAACAAGTCAGGAAGGCAATGTCAGAAGTAGAACAGGCCCCCAGAGGACCAGAGCTGAGCTCTTATCAGCCTCTACTTAGCCAAAGCCATTTGAAGATGTGAACATTATCTGAGGAATGATTCCAAGGTGGTCTCCAACACTTGAAAGTGGAGATAGAAATGGATTTTAGTGGATAATGCATGCCATCTCTAAGGCACTAGACTGAGCCTTTAAAAAGCACCACATCACCATATCAAAAACATATAACAGCTAGGCTAGGAGAATTTCATCACATTTAACAGAAGCACAAATGCAAGTTTGCTATATTTATATCCTTGCTATTTTCTCATTAAAAGTTGCATAGAGATGGCTAATGGATCTTTCAAATGTAGCAGAGATCGTTACACATTCACTTTCTGCCATTTTATTCTTTTTCAGATGACTGAAATGCATTTCCCTAGATTCTCTACTTAAAATCTGATCCATGTCCAGATGAAAGATGAAAGATTCCTAACTAGAGAGAATTTTTTCTAATCTTGAAGATGCCCTAGATGACTGAAAGCTAAGCAAACACATAGTCTACTTGTTATATTTGTATTTCAATTGCAAGACTCATTGTATGAATTCTATTCTATTCTATTCTATTCTATTCTATTCTATTCTATTCTATTCTATTCTATTCTATTCTATTATATTATATTCTCAGATAATCAGCTAATCAGCTAAAATCTTCCTATATAGCTACTGAGTAAATACGTACAAAATTGGCTGAATGGATTCGTACTGACCTGAAAAATGTCATTAGCACATTTCCTACAGAGGTTATGCTGGCAAGGTAGGATCACCACAGGCTTGGAGAACATCTCTAGACAAATAGGGCAGATCAGCTGTTTTTCCAGATTCTCCATAGGATTATTGTCCTGGAAGATGCTCGACTGATAATCCATTGTTCAGTTCAGCACTTACAAATTATATCCTTAGATTCTGGACTTGCTCGTCAAGAAACCCTTCTGGGAGATAAGCTCAAGTTTTAGAACTGAGCCTTGCTGGGTTGACTTTCAAACTAAGTCACCGGGTTTTCTGCAGTTTGTCTGCCTCTTGTCTATTTATAATTTATCTGGGAGTCACATGTGTTTGGCTGGCAAGAGTAATTTGAGAAGAGGGTCGTGTTTCCAACACACTGTCACATGAAAGGAGGGATGTGCAGTTGTCCCTCTAGTTGGACTCCTGTAAACAAGGCAGAGGGACAATATGTTCGAAAGCTGGGAAGCAGACTTCCAGAGATGTTGTATTATTTATCTCTTTTGCCTCCCCTGTGTCTTTTCCGACAAAGAAATTAGAGCTGTGTTTGTGTAAACTGGTCACCCTTTCCAGGGAACTAAACAAACAACATGGGCCTTCCCACTCATTAAACTAGGGGTTAAGCTCAAACCCTTCAACAACTTTGTTTGCTATTGCCAGGCCTGGTTCCAAGGAATGACTTAACATAGCCATGTAGCTCACCATCCCTAGTTGCACTCATCTAATTCTCCTTTTTCCAACCTTCCCAGGTAGACCAGACAGGAAACATGACCAGATGAGCTAATTCTATTTTATTTATTTTATCGTAAGGCTACATTAACAGAATTTTGCAAGTCTCTACAGGTGCCGTGTTTCCCCAAAAATAAGACCCAGCTGGAAATATAAGCCCTAGCATGATTTTTCAGGATGCTCATAATATAAGCCCCACCCCAAAAATAAGCCCCAGTTAAGATCGTCGGCCAGACGGAGGCATTTAGTACCGAATTTCCCTGAATATAAGCCCTAATCGGAAAATAAGCTCTAATGCGTCTTTTGGAGCAAAAATTAATATAAGACCCGGTCTTATTTTCAGAGAAACACGGTAGTCCTCGACTTACAACAGTTCATTTAGTGACTGTTCGAAGTTACAACAGCACTGAAAAAAGGGACTTATGACTGCTTTTCACACTTACAACCGCTGCAGCATCCCCATGGTCACGTGATCAAAATGCCGATGCTTGGCAGCTGATTCATATTTATGACGGTTGCAGTTTCCCAGAGTCACGTGATCACCTTTTTCGATCTTCTGATAAGCAAAGTCAATGGGGAAGTCAGATTCATTTAACAACCGTGTTACTAATTGAATAACTGCAGTGATTCACTTAACAACTGGGGCAAGAAAGGTCATAAAATGGGTCAAAATTCACTTAACAAATTTTTTCACTTAGCGACATAAATTTGGGATTTAGTGGTGGTCGTAAGTCGAGGACTGCCTGCAGTACAAATCTCCCGCCGTCTCTTTTACAGCCTGAGAAGACAGGGAACTTCCAGAATCTCTTTCTCCACCCATCTCGCAGCTGCAGGCTATGCTGTCTCTCCCCTGACCATTCCGTGGACGGTGCCTCTTCTCCTTATCTCCAGAGGACATTCCAAGGTCCCGTTACAGTTTTTTGTGATTGCCTAATGAAGCTGTGATGCTTCAGAATATTACTACTGTTGTGAACTTAGAAGACCAAATTGTTAGAAGGTGGGAAATCCTTAAAATAACCATTACATTTTCATTAGTTTATCCTGGCTTCCACTGATCATTTCCAATATTTATTTATTTATAAATAAACAAACCCTGGGCAGCTTACAACAACAACAACAACAACAACAATAATAATATAAAGTTGGAAGGGACCTTGGAGGTCATCTAGTCCAACCCCCTGCTCAGGCAGGAAACCCTATACCATTTCGGACAAATGGCTGTCCAGGCTCTTCTTAAAAACGTCCAGTGTTGGAGCATTCACCGCTTCTGGAGGCAGGTTGTTCCACTGGTTAATTGTTCACACTGTCAGGAAATTTCTCCTTAGTTCTAGGTTGCTTCTCTCGATTAGTTTCCATCCGTTGCTTCTTGTCCTGCCTTTAGGAACTTATAAAAAAATAAAAACTGCACAAGGATAAAAGCATAAATAAACTACTACCCACAATCAAATACAGCAGCCCACGTGAAAGATGAGGAGGGCAGGAACAGGATGGGTGGGAATTGGGACTTGTTGTTAATCGATCCCCCACCTATAAAAAGGCTTACCATGGTGTTTTTTTTTCTCAAAGAGTTAAATTTTCATGAGTCTCATTACCAAAACCCAACTTATGCCCCACAAGGGACCCAGGATACAGATAGTCCTCAACATACGACCACAATTGAGCCCAGAATTCATGTTGCTAAGTGAGACATTTGTTAAGTGAGTTTTGCCCCATTTTTGCGACTTTTCTTGCCACATTTGTTAAGAGAATCACTGCAGTTGTTAAATTGGCAACGTGGTTGTTACGTGAATCTGGCTTCCCTGTTGACTTTGCTTGTCAGAAGTTCACAAGAGATGATCGTGGGACTTCCGTACGCTCCCACCGTCATGAATACGAACCAGTTATCAAGCATCTGAATGTGAATCATGTAACCACGGGGATGCTTCAATGGTCATAAGTGTGAGAAATGGTCGTACGTCATTCTTTTCATTGCTGTTGTAACTTCAAACGGTCACTAAACAAACTGTTGTAAGTCAAGGACTACCTGTGCAAACTCAAACAGACTCCCTGTGGCATCACATCCCTATTTCATAGTCCCAGACAATCCAATCCAATTATAAAACAGAAGCATCAAACTTCTGACACAGATGATGACATGACATCAGGCACCACCGAGATCAGGTTCTGTATCTCAAACTCTTCCCAGAACTCATTTGTTGTGAAGCTTAATTGGGAGTCCTCCAGAATCCTCCCTCGAATGAAGATGCAGAAAAAGACTTCCCATTCAGTTCCAAGGGAATTTCTGAAAAAAACACGTGGAAGGCCTTGGGATATTGGTGTCCATTCAGGTGACCTATCTGGGAACCCAAACAGCTTTAGGCAAGATTTGATATACACGTGATTGATCAACAGCACAACAAGACCAGAGGGATGTTCCATACGCTTCTGGCTCAGACAAGTTCTTTATATTGATCACGGATATCCAGCAGATAGAAATATCCCACTAACCGTTTAGTGGTAAGTATGACTTGAAGCAGCTGTCAGTTTTCAAAAGTAGGACAGCCAATTTCTCTGAAAAATAAATGAAAGGATAGACTAGGCCAGAGGTCCCCAACCTTTTGGGCACCAGGAACCGGTTCTGTGGAGAGAGGTTTTCCCGCGAACCGGAGAATGCGTGGTTTTGTGTGCTGACTGCATCCCGTAGATGGGGCTTTGCTTGTTTGTGCGGACCGGTTGCTGGCATGCCATGGCCCAATACCGGTCCACGGATCGGGGGTTGGGGACCCCTGGACTAGATCATTTGAGTATCTGTAAATGGTTATTAAGAAAATTGCTGCAACTGTTAAGTGAATTTGCAGTTGTTAAGTGAATACCACAGTCATAAGTCTGAACCCATTCTTCCAGATGGGTGGGATATTTTTTTTTGCCAGAAACAGGCAAAAAAGGTAGTGAATCGTGATCATGTGATGTCAGGACACTGTTGTAAATATGAGCTGGTTGCCAAGCACCTGACTTATGATCACATGAAACAGAGGGGTGTTGTGATAGTTGTATGTGTAAAGACTAGACATTTTTCAGCAGTGTTGTAACTTTGAATGCTTGCTAAGTGGATGATCATAAGTCAAGAGCTACCTATAGTCCACGTGTTGTAACTAGATATTTTATGACATAGTAAGCCATCCAGAGTCATTTGATAGTGAGATGGGCAGCATATAATGTTAATAAATAAATAAATGATTTCCTGTCAACATAGTCGTTTCTGAAAGAGTCAGCAAAGCTGCTGGCCATGCTAATTGGGGATGATGATGAGAACTGTATGTGGGAAGTCAGCCCCCCAGAGAAGGAAATATTAAAAGGGCAGAAAAATATATTTCCTCCAAGGATCTTAAAGAAGCAGGAAAGCATACCCAGTTTTCTTAATAGCCCCAGGTCTCCCTTCTCCAAGCAGAAAGCAGCTCTATAGAGATGCAGATGTAAATCCAGGGAGCTAGGAGATTAAGAAGACAAAGACTTAAAATCTATATACCCCATCCAAGCTCTAAGAGTCATCAGCCCCAGGGAAGCAGGATATGACCTTTGGTCATAATAGGATTAACTCACAAAGGCCAAAGGGCACACCCAAACTCAGGTCAGAATACATGACATAGGAAATAGCCTCAAAACAGGAACAGGAAGTAACTCCAAACAAAAGGCTCCAGAAGGTATAAAAACCCACTTCCTACATGTGCTCAGTCCTTTTTTTCACTTCTCTTGCTGCCAGAACCATCTTCCTGTCTGGCTCTCCTCTCCAATAAACTACAACCTTCTTCCCAAAGCAGTTGCCATGTTTATTCCCAGCTTGGATGAACCAGGATGAAGACTTTTCTTCCAACATGTAATATAAACCATCGGGAAGATTGCTTGATTGGGAAAAGCTGCATTAGAAAGCTTTCGCCCCCAAAAATACAAAGGGATTTCACGTTCTGGCTGCATTATATCTAGCAAACCTCAGTTGTACATGCAGAGATGTTGGCTTGCTTGGCAAATAGTCGAGAAGTTAGGATTGCTCAAAAGCACTCTTGCATTTCATTGCAAAACAACTCAACAGACCCCCCCCCCCCAAATCCCTGAACAAGAAGCCAAGGATCTCAGCTGACAAATCAGTTGATGCCTGTAGAAGGGGAGTGAAGGTGGGATTACAAAAATATCCAGCCAAAACAACAGCTGTGAATGGTTTCCCCTCCTCCCTACTGTAGATTTGGACCACTCTGCTAGGACACTGATGACCCCTAAAAGTCTAGGCACCAGCAGGAAAGAAGCAACATTTTCACTGCTTTGACAAGCCAGGGAAGACACCTGGATCTCCACAGAGTTGCAAAGAAAGATGAGCTTGAAAACAATACAGGTAATGAATGACGAAGCTACAGGCCAGGCAGGAAACAGGAAGGAATCATATTTCAAATGCTTATTGGTCAACTGAAGAGATGTGGGAAACCTGGTCTCATCCAGATGTATCAGACTACAACTCGTAAAATCCCCAGCTAGTATGATTAAGAGTCACATTGGATAAGTATTATGAAAGCAATTG